AATATTAATACACTATCTCAGACTGAATATTGGAGACTGCAGTGGGTTCCTGTGGAAAAAAACCCACAACTATAAAATATTATACCACTAATCAGCAGCAGAAATTAACTGCTTGCTTCTTATTTTACAAAGCCTAAAGTTTTTGCTTTTGAAGTTCAAAATTTTCATGCCGAGGGTCGACGCAGGCGAAGTCCCACGGGAATGCTTTCACCCATCATTACAGCTTCATCAACGGAGAAAGATCTTGCAGGTGGAAGGAACCACCGGCTGCCTTAGGGAGGGCAAGGCGCTGCCTGTTGTGCGGGCTCCGCGCTCAGCCGTGCGGGCTCCGCGCTCAGCCGTGCGGGCTGTCGGGCCGCGGAGCGGAGCGCGGTGCCGGTAGATGGCACTCCAGAACGGGGAACAGCAGCGCTCGGGGCTCCGGGCAGCAAACGGCCTCTGGCAGCCCCCGGCACTGGTGTCCCGGTCAAGGCACCTGGAGAAAGAAGAACAAGAGCTTATGCCTCCATAGGGCGAAAATACCTCCCGGCACCAGCTGGAGCATATGTTGGAGAGGATGCAATATATGCTCACTGAGCACACCCAACCTATTTTAAAAGTCAATTCAAAAGAATTAGGAACAGATCTATCACCCAGCACTTGTTGCAATTTGGGAGTGGTCTTACTCTTCCCTTACAGCCCTTGTATGGGCAGCTCAGGGCACAGGAACCCTCCTCCGGCTCTTCTGAACTCATGTGAGGGCAGCCAAAATCCAACCCTTCGGTTGTAAACTCAGGGTTAAGGCAGGCAAAGGTTTATGATTAAATAGAAATGCCTGTTGACCCCTATCACAAATGCAAGCTGGTTTTGTACCTCATAGCACAAACTTCATTGCTCATATAAATTCGCCAAAAGCAGTTTTCTTGCCCTGCATCTTTGAAACACAAGTCTCAAGGGCTACAATGCAAAGGACAAATTGCATGAAAGCAGCATCAGGCAGAACCTCACTTAGGACAAAACTGATCAAAACTAGTAATTCAGCTACATTTTGTTTTTTAAAAAAGTTCTTTTCCACAAAAAGCAGCTGTATAATACATGCATATTACATGATAAAAAACTTTAATGATAATGGAGAGTTCAACAGTCTTTTCCTTAGAGATTTTGCTTATGCTTTCATTAATAATATAAATCATAAATGTCTTAAGTTAAAACATTACATACCATTTTTTCAGGGAATTCATTACTTATTTAACCTGAAGCTGCATGCTGATGTTCTCTGCAATGGCTATCAGATGCAGTGTCAAGAAATTCTTAAACTAACCTGCCTGTAAAAGAATTAGTTCACAACATCTGGTTATTTCTTCACCAAAGAATATGAGAATAATTGTTACCAAACTGCAAGAAATATACGATTGCCCTAAGTGTTACACTAACTATGTTACCAGGTTTGAGCATCATCAGTAATTGGAAAGTTATCACTGGCCACGAAATACACAAGAACATTTAACTGCCTCCCATAGTGACCATGAAAATACAGAGCATGATGGTTTAATTAGTAATCCCAGAGATACCAGGCAGTGCTCAAAAGCTGAAGAACAACCAACATTATTGCTGTGAAGGAGAGACTCAAAACCTTTCAACCAGTCTGTTCAGCCCTAGGCCTTTGCTGTCAAAGATGATAGCAGTGATTATGGCCTGAAATTACCAGATTATTTTATATAGGCCTTTGACAACAATGCTGCATCATATAGTGAAAGGTCTGTTTCCCTTCTCTGTTTCAAATGCCTTTGCTCCGATGCCTACACAGACTTCACTCAGAAAGTATTTCTCATTTACATGACCTAGATAGTAGTGAGAAACATGTTCCTTGATCTTTTTTGCTGTTGATTTGCTATATTCAGCCTGGAAGAAAAACATAATCATGGGAATGCATTGTTTCTTTTATGTCGGTGTTAGGAAGCAACGCAAGGTAGATCAGGGGATCCAGGCAGAAGCTTTGCAATAAACGGACAGAAAAACACATGGAATAGCTTTAGGGATTACACAATTTTGCTTATTTTTAAAAAAAGTTTCTTGTTTAGTGACTTCAAATTTGGTTTTATGACAGTGCCCTATAGCTGACAATAAGTGTAAGCCAGGTGATTTAACTCCAGCACAGCTATGTTTAGAACTGTGTCAGTAATAAGGACCATAGCTCAGTGCAATGGGTGGCTTATTCCATGATTACTCATTTCAGAGTCATTACCTCAGCTGGCATATTGGACAACCTATATTAAAAAGTGTTATGAACTGGGTTGACCTGTGGTTACGGAAATAGTCTGAAGGCATCTTGACTCCATTTGGCCATAGCTATTGCTCAGTTGTATCCATTGCTGTGGTGAGTCGCAGGTTCCTGTTCTGATCTAGACAAGGCTTCCCATGTTCCTGTGATATTCTCATATGACAGGGTGGGAGAAATAAATCTTTCTTGAAATAAAAAAGCAAGAAGCAGAGGAAATACTCAGGTACCACCTTCCATGGACTGCAAGATGAACATACCCATGAGATAAGTTAAAGGAACATTTGTCTGGGTTTAGAATGGTTCATGACAAACCATTGCTATGTACACTGATCTGTGCAATGGATAATGAAGCTGAATAAATCATCTGCTCAAGAAGGAGCGTTACTGTTTTTAACAACTTTTTAATATTTATTTCAAGAAGCTGTACAAAAATAGATGGGTTGTCCAAAAGGTTGTAGAATCCCAAAATACAGAAAAAATGTAATCAGTAATAATAAAGAAAAGCATAGGAGATTATCTAATAGTCAAGATCTTTCAGATAAATTATAGTTACTGTCTGAACTAGCACCATGGTGGTGAATAACACTATGAATAAATGAAACTGCAAACCATCTTTGTGGCAAGGAGCCTCTGTAACAGGACATGAAAAAGTTTTTTAAAATTCCCATTCTGAAAATGGAAGTACCAATTCCAAAATAGTAGTTTTGGGCTTATTTTGTCATCCAGGGACAATTAAAATGAATGGAAGAACAGCCACTTACATCAATGGGTTTTGAATTCAGGCTCCATCCTCTTTCAAAAATATGTCAAAATATTTTTTAAAAAGTCTGCCCAGTCAAGCAGGGGTAGGAAATGTGACAAAAGGGCATTGACAGAACGTCTGTCAAATTACAGGAATTAGGGAAATGGTCCAATCATGAGTAAAGATTATTACATGCAATTGTGTCCAAATACTAAATTCATACACAACACAGCTTATCTCAAATCCTTCCATGTTTGTATTGAACTTAAAAGAATTTATGAGAGGCGGTAATTTTGTGAAAATAATTTTAAGAAAGCATAGCCTCAAAAAAATCAGCTTGTACAGCTTCCAATAGCTAACAGAAATATTTATTCTGAGTATCTCAATTCTAGTCCACTATTGCCTAAAAGGAGAAGTATTGTGCATTTGAAATCTTTGTCATTATTATGTCCATTGTAAACAGCTATTTAGACAGAACTAAAGCTACTGAAAGTGGTCTCCCAAAACTCATACAGGAAGCTCACATGCTGTTCAGCTGGAAACAGCCTTCTTGAAAGAGAATTGATGTGAATCCTTTTGTAAAGGAGATCTGTGCTCTGAGCACTCAAAATACATCATAGAATACTAATCACACTACTTCCCAAAGCACAAGAAAAATAAAGAAGGATAGAGTGCATCACTGAACTGAGAATGGTACATCTCTTTGGAGACATTTCAGGGTGGAAAAAAAGAATGCCTGTCTGCATTCTTAGCTATATAGACTTAAAGAAGAACCTGAAATGGTATAGCATAAATATTCCATTTGTATTTTATGTTCTCCCATATGAGAAAGAAAGGACAGATAAAGGACAGATAAAGCCTGAGTAAATTAACACAGCTCTAGTGGAGTGAGGGAGACCTGGTAACAATGTCATCTTCATACCCTAATGTGCTGGTGGAACTTGAAGCAGTGCAGGAAGAAAAGGCACAGATGAAAGATTTCTGAGAAGAAAGGTGAGAAAGGTGGAACTGCTTTGTTCCATCTTTTTTTTTTTTTTGAATCTGAGTTTTTCCCCCTAAATAAAATAGTGGGGCTGCATAATCTCAGACAATGGATCAAACAGAAACCACAAACTTCTTCAACCACATGATGCAGAACTTGTGCTACATGATGTGCAAAGAGCCACAAAAGGGTCCAAAAAGCACTGCTTAGGACATCTCATTAAAATGTTTAACCTTCATGTTATGGAAGGGTAGTAAACTTCAGTATTAGGAATATTTAAAACATTTTTTCCCCTCCCTAACAAAAGGGAGAGATCGACTAATGGTCTCAGTGGTTTGAATCAAAGTTCTTGCTATACATGTCTATATTAAAGTGCTGTAGTCATAAAAAACGACTCTTTGATGCTGTCATTCTTTCTCTATAAAATGAGAAGCTCATAGGAGGAAATATATGGGCTCTGAATTTGGCCAGAATAAAGAGTTTTCTTCCAATAGTTTTTTTCTTGAGTAAGACTTTTTATACTGTGCTTGACATTCTGAATTACATGATTATATAGTATAAGACTCCAGCAACATTTTGTATTGTAAAGATGGAGATGCTCAGCATTTTGCCAGATGCCAAGTGATATTCTGATATTTCTATCTTCTCTTTAAACTGAGTGACAGTCAGCATATTCACAATGAAGCCAAGACAATCTGCTATCAAGTTACAGTAGTGATATTTTCCCTGATGAAGATCCCAGAGCTTGTTGGAATAAAGCTCCTTAAAACTCAGTGTCTGGAACAGCTCCAGCTTGAATTGCTCTCTGTGTAATATAATTTTATATTTGTGCCAGTCTAATAAGTAGATCACTGGGTAGAGGCTTTTGTAAGTAAGTCTATACGTACTGCACCATTTCCTGGCTCTGTGCTCCAGTGTGTTGCAGGCTGTGTGCAGTGGGGGAGGTGCCAGAGCTGATCAAGCAGTGTAATTTTATACATTACTGAATCAGTGCAGGAGAAACCTGGAGGGACAAAGCATCATCTTCTCTTTGGACTGCACTGCAAAATCCTACAGCTCTCTTAGCCCAGCCATGCTCTGATACATTTTTTTCTCTCCTTTTTCTGATTTTGGTGTGAATGATAAAGTGATCTGATGATGGCTCTCGTTATGGAACCTATTAGCAAGTGGACGCCCAAGCAAGTAGTGGATTGGATGAAAGGTATGATCATTTATTACCATGTATTGTCTGTACTTTGGATCCTTGCAATTTACATATCTGCTCTTGTATCCTTTGTTTTGGGAAGAGTTTATTCAGTTTTAATAATCCGTATGCTGCTTTGCACAGTAGTTTTTAAAGACACGACCGAGGAGAGAAGCTGTTTAGGCTGTGCAGCATGTTGTTGGGATTTCTGCCGAGAACTGAGTAGGGATCAAACGCATTTGTTGGTAAATGCAGCCATAAAGTGTTTGTGTCTCACGGCTCCATTATGCATCGCACAGTGTAGCGTTATTATGTTTGGTTGCTTTAAATTTGCCCTGATTAGGTCTGTTTTGCTCACATCAGGTGATGTGATGCAGTGGCTGTGCAGCACTCGCGTGTAGTTTAGGGTACCACAAGGAGCATAAGGTGCCGGTGGCTGGACTGAGGAATCCAGCTCCTCCGGTGCCATGTCCTGATTCGTTCAGGCTTCCCAGCCGCTCCCGCTCCGCCGCCCTGCGCGCCCGCGCCCCCTCCGCCGCCGGCACCCTGGACAGAGCAGCCCGCGCCGCGCCTGGGGCGCGCAGGGTACGCGCCGCGCCGAGCACGGCTTCGCCGGGGAAACTCTTCCCCGTAAGTTGGAGGGGAATGCCGGTTTCCCTGCACGCTGGCAGTTTCACTGCCCAGCCAGGAGCTGTGACATGTTTTGCCTCGCAGCGCTCGGCTGGGCTGCAAACAGGCTGGGCTGCACGGGGGGGAGAAGAATTGGTCCTCACCATAAGTGTTTTAAATTCCTCCCGAGTGAGGAAAAATGTATTTCCACAGTGGGATGCGTTAGTGCTGTTATATATTGCTTCTGATGAGCTCTCTGTCTTAGAGACAAATAATTTCCGCTACGAGGAATCTCCCATTATATAAGGAGAAGAGGTGCAAATTTTGTTTGCACCTCACCCATGGAAATGATTTCTGTGATGTGATTACTGAACTAACTGGAGGGGCGAATTGGATGCCCACCATGATATCCTTAAAGCTTTCATAGTATTATTATTAATAAGGGAATAGGTTTGATTTCATTTTGCTGAGATACGTCTCCATACTTAACTGAAATTGGGCTGTTTGGGTGCTCATCAGACATATTACAGTTACGAGCAAACTATTGTTTTACAAGCACTCAGTATTATGAAGGCAATGGTGTCTTAGGGAATGTATGTAGTTTGTTTCTCGGGTGTTTGTGAATTCAGGTTAATTGGGAGATCTTAAGCAGGTCATTGGGATGGATCCCAAAACCATTTGAGACAGGATTAATTCCCACACTGTAATGTCATTCCTTTAAATCAATTCCTACTGTACATGCATGATCCACACCTTTATTTTCAGTGCATAAAAGAATTTAAAAATGGACAGATCATTATGCTGTTTTAACTCACTACTTGAATCATAATGTAAATTAAATGTCAAGATGTGTATAATACTTGTTGCTAAATTTAAAAATACTTCCTGCTACTTTTTAATCTTTTTTGATGTAAACTAATTACATCTTGAGTAACGTTAATCCATAGCATGTGTAGTGCATACCATGGGAAGCGAGAAGGTCATACAAATAAAAGGTTTAAATGTATGGAGTTGCCTGACAGTTAAATTTCTATACAAAGACTGCATACTGCATCCATAGGGACGTCTGGAGTAGACAGTACTGTCAGTTGCGTGCCTCTGGGCTTAAGCATAAATAAGTATGATGCAATGAACATTGAAATATTCACCAGACAGATAGGTATATTCCTTGGTAACAAGAGAGCTGCAGATCCACAAGCAGTAAAGTTGTACTTTTGTCCTTTTTTACCATGCTAATATTGCAAGTCCCCTGTTAATCCTGGTGCTTATCTTTATAAATGCATATTTCAATTGTAGCCAAAGGAAAGATCTAATACACACAAATGGAAACATACCAGAATTACTTTAAAATTACTTGTAAATCTCTTCTTTTATAAAAATTTCCCAATTGTGGCCACTGTTTATCTGTAATTTACATATATTCTGTATGTCTGTTCCATTAGCTATGGTCATTCTGCTAAACGGCTATTAATGCATTAGAGAGGTCGAAGGTCTGCATAGATAGCACTGTTCAAGTGAGAAGGCAGCTTTTACATATGTCTTCTATACTGAAGGACACACTTCTTTGGCAGCATTAAAAGATAAAGTAAGAACTTTTTAGAAAAAATACCACGCTCTGAATGTGAAATATTACCTTTGCTATAGAAACCAACATGTTAATAAACAGTATAACAAATACTGTAAGTGTAATACACCTTTTTTTGGCTTAAAATATGTAGTTGATTAGCTTTATTTGTAAAGGTAGTAAATCAAAATGTACTTCATTGGGAAATTACTTGAATTTATCATAATTACTTAAGCTATCATAACTTACTTTTAAAAATGTTAGCAAAGTACATGTTTTCAAATTAAGTATCAGTGAGTAGCAGCAAAATCAAATAATTGAAGAGAAGATGGAAGAAAACCACCAAAATGATGTTAATAGTTTAAGACCTGGCTACCCAGAATGAGTCCTGGTTACAGTGTGCTATTATCAGAAGCAGCTGTAGCCTAAGCCCCAACCAAGAGGAGACACTCTTCTGTTCTTTTCCTCAAGGAAATGTTACTTGCCAAAAAAGTAAAAATTGGTAGGCTTTAAGGAACATTATTATGACAAGTTGGCATTTTCTATTTATCCACAGTTCTTTTCTCAGGAACGCATTCAACTGAAATTCAACTTGGGAACTGCATCTGATTATGTGGACAACCTGAAAAGGCCATGCAAGTCTTTAGAAATTGATTCTTGAGGCTTATAGAGGCTCTAGAAGTTAAACTATAGATGCCTTCATGTTAAAGAAATTGTCTTTAGAGTATACAAAAATATTTTGTAAAGTTTAGCAAATATACAGCAGAAGGCACTGTCATTAAAAAGAAAGTCTTCAAAGGAGCAAAAGACATTAATTACGAACATATTTTTAACAACAGTTTTTGTTACTATTCAGGTTTTTATCAAAATTTTCCAAAATGTTAAATTTCTAAATGGTTCTCACTTCAGAAAATGAGCCAGTATTTCTCCTGGCATGTACCCATTTCTTACAAAACTTAAATATGTACTATGGACCCAAAAGGTATGTTAAGAGAAAGAACTTTGCCATGCTAAAATTCCTTTCTGCTACTGTTGGGAAAATAAATATTATGCATAAAGTTTGCAGTACATTAAGAATCAGAGTAGTTTTCAAACTTGGTCTGTTTTTCCTCTGATTAAGTTTAACATATTAACATGAGTAAATGACAAACTACACTTCATATTTAAATCTGTAATGCTTCTACCCAGAGACTTTGATTTCCTTTTGGCCTACGAAGTTCCTGTGAAACTCAGTGACACTTTGTGGTTGCAAACAGGCTGCCAGAGTGAGCACTCCTAAACCCAGGTCCATCGATTTTCATATGCATGTATGCACTATGGAAGGTAATCCTGTGCAGAATTTGAGGAGCTTGGGGGGCAGAGGAGAGGCACGATGCCTTATTTGCACTAAGAATTAATAGAAGCATGATTCTTTGTGTCTTCGTTGTAAGTGGAATCTAAAAGGTATTCTCTTCACTTTTACAAACAGCAGTGTTTAAGATTTTGTACTTCTAAATGAAGCCATTTACAAATAGGTCATTTAAAATGTGAACTCATTTACCGTGAAGTGACACCTGTGTCCAAATAAATACTAACTTTTCAAAACAATCCAATGAAATACAATGCAATGAAATACAGCTGTGACTTTCAGAGAACGGAATGTTATTAAACAGCTGAAAATTAAAATAGGAAGCCAGTTATTTCTTAAGTACCTGTAAGTAATAACTCCACATGGAGTCAGTTATTCACAGTCTTGGGGACTGACAGTAAGGTCTCTCTGACAAAACAGCCTGCAGTGGAGGCTTCTCTCATAAAGAATGCTCAGCTTTAGATACTCATTTCACAACTGCAAGCCATTTCTCCTCTTTAAATCTAGAATTTCTCCACTCTCAACAGGAGATGCAGACATGAAAAAATAAAAATTAATTCAGTTGGTAAACTGATTAACTGTGCTGCACTGATCCTGTGCAGAATAATTATATGTTTAGCTGAAGGGTTTTCCTTAGCATGTAATTCCCTGATTTCAAGCTGGCTCATAAAAGAAAAAGGAAGGGAGGGAGGGGGGAGCTGAGAGCAGGGAAGCTGATGACGTGAGTGGACTTGTTAGCATTCATATCACGCAGGGCTCCGGCAAACCCCTTCTCAGTCTCCTCTTGCTTTTCATTAGATCACTACCTGTTCTGTAGCAATATGTCATAACCAGGGAGTCTCCTCTATTTACAGAATGTAACATATAAAATCTTAGACCTTACTGGAAACACAGCTAAATATTATGATCTACTGCAAAAGCAGCCTTATAGGTACTGAGCTGGATGATACTTAGGTATCTTGGTCCCCCTTCATGACCTTAGACTCCCATAATGCAAGAATTCAACTTTACAAGATACAATTTGAAACCTGATAGACAACTGAGGTCATATCTTATTTAGAAAAATGTAGGTTTTATAACATCTTTTCAGTTCTTTCTGAAGACAAATAGGTTTGGAAGAGAACGAAGAGCCACAAATAGAGATGCCCTCACAATTAGCACTGAATTTTCAAGCAGTTCTAAAAGCAAAGGTTTCATCATTTTCTTTCTACTGTCATCAATTTCAAAACCGAAACAAATAATTTAGTGATGTGGCTCCCCCCTGGATCACCGTGTTCCACTAGTACCACATTTCCAGTTGTCACTAGGAAGTCACCGAATCAGAATTGTCTGTAATTCCTCTGTTTCAGGCAGTAACATTTTTCAGTAATAAATTTTGGTAACAACTACTCTGTCGCAGGTTGTAAACCATTTGCTTTAAAAGGGTCACCAGAGCACACCTCAGAGTTGACTACTTCAGTATATAAGTGGTTAAGACCAGACTTGAAGGAGCAGGTT